TTTTTTTTTTTTGCAACCATTTGGCGTCCCTTCGCTTGCTTTTTTACCTGTTTGCTCTTTTTTTTTTTTTTTTATTCACCATTTATAAGAAAAAAGTTGGCAACATTTTCAGGCAAGCCTTTTTATCTCACTTTGTGTGAAAAATTGCACTTTTAAAAATTAATGAAAATGGGGAGGTGACGCTGTGGTGGGCCCCCCCTGCCCAATTGGTAGTTGTAAACCCGTTGTATGTTTTGTTAAAATGAACTTCCGGTGTAGGAACGTTTTTTAAAAAAAAAAGAATGACACTCCGAAGTGAAGCTCATTCGGGTGGCTACTGAGAACAACAAAAAAAAAGTAACTTCAAATAAAACAATCCGTAGTTAAACCAACGCAAGCGAAACCACGTCAAATAAATTGGTTCCCGTTGCCCATTTACATTCGCCTGCGTACCACACGTTATCGCCCACGCCGAGTTGACCCCACACGTAATGTGTACGACCGACCAGGGCAGAAAATGCATATAAGCGCTCACACGAAATTATGAATAAAGCGGTACATAAAACGTGCAAATGAGTAACTATAAATAGATAGGCAAATGCATAAGCAAACACGTATGAGACAGAACGATGCCTCGTGGTGACCGCGGGACGGGGAAGTTTTCACCCACCTCCAATACACGCACTTGTTGGATATCACCTACGGGAAAGCACGTGCCAACGGTAGAACGCGCGTGAACCCGCTACCTCCCAGTGCTTATTCGCTGCGCCAGGAGAGCAACGCACACAGTACTCCTAACCCCCTGCAGTGCGGCGGCATTTTCATTGCAAAGCTTCGGCGTAACGCTCAAGCACTTCAAAACAGTACACGGATTTATCTTCTTAAAAATTAGTAACTCCTGAATTTTTTTTAAAATGGCAAGGAAAGGTTCATCAAAAGAGTTATATTTAAAAAAAAAAAATAGACATAACAATACGTTTCGCACCTCCTTCACATCCACTTTTTGTATAAGTTCTCCAACAGCTGTTACATGTTCTTTTTGAATCACTATCTTTTCGTTCTTGCAGAAAATTTTTAAAATAATATGTAGCCCCATTTCCGTGAGTTTCATTTCGGCGGATCCATTCTTTAGCAAAGCATTTTGAAGCAAAGCAGTAATTTGTTCCATTTTTTTTTCATTTTTTGTTTTTTCTGCACAGTAGTATAAAGCTATATGCGATAAATAGTTCAGGCTCTCTAACTTATCTTCTAACAAATCCCAAAATAAATTTACCAAATGGGTAAAATTGGGATCAAACGACAAGCTATTACAGTAGGCATGAAGCATAACAACCAACTCGTCTGCACTGAATGAGTTTCTAATTGTTTTCACTCTGTCGTAAACTAACTCCCATATGTAATGATTATTCATTTTCCTTTTGTTAATATCCTCACATGTGTGTGCCAACGCACTGTTGTTCATTTTTGATATACGTCTTAGAAAGGCGTCTTCTAAATTGTAAGATTCTTCCGTTTCTTTTATGGCTTCTTCCTTCCTTTGTTGGAAATAGGAAGTGAATGGTGCTTGTTTCTGCCCACTGAGTAGAGCTCTGTTTATGCCTTTCCAATGCCAAGCGGGCCGAAGGAATGTCCTCCTCCACAGATAAGACATATTAACAAGGGGGCGAGGGGTTCCCATACTGGGCGTATTTTTGTATCGTGCACAAACTATTTCGCGTGACCAGATTCATACACCCTTAGTTGTACACTTACGCGATGTACAACTTACTTTCCCAACGTGTGCCTTTCCTGATGGCAGGCCTTAAAGAAATTCTTGGACAGGGAGGGGGGCAGCCAAACAGGGTAATATATATATGTGTATATAATGCATCATACCCATTAGCTTCCTCACCCCGCTCAGCACATCCCTAGCAAAGCTCCCCTCATCGCTGCACGCACGTGTAGGGCGCCAGCCGTTGTTAAATGCTCAGAGGGGAAAATCCTTTTCTTTATTTGTTCTCCCCCCCAAAAATGCCATTTTGCGTAACTATATATATTTTTTTTTGTGTGTGTGCCCACTATGTTTTTGATATGCAGCTGATTTACGGGGGAATTTCCTTCCCGTTTCCTCGTCTAGCAAAACGCAGCAGATATACTCTTGGGCACGTGGTGCGGGCTCACAGGTTCGTTGTCAGTGCTGCCCACACCACAACTGTGCTTTGCTCGTTTGGCTTATTTCTTCCCCCGAACGTGTGATGTTGCCGTAAAAATGGGGCACCACGCAGTTGTTCAGATGGTCTACCCTTCGCGGGTATCCCAAAAAAAATATATATATATATGTAATTTTTAAAGAATGAATAAAAAAAAAAAAAAAAAAAAAAAAAATTAATTAAAATAAACAGAGCAAATCAAAGTACGCGCAAATAATAAAGCGGTCTGCACTTCCACACAGGTGCGAACTCGACCAGGCGCTGTCCCAACCCATGCGCGCAACCCTGCCCCGCCCTACGCGGCGCCGTGAGGGCCTACCAAAATTGGAATGAGGGAAAACATCCCGACTTTTTCAGAGGTAGTATAGTATAAACAGTCTCTCCTCCAACATCGTTAATTTTTGTTACGTGACAAAATTAAGAAAAAAAAAAAAAAAAAAAAATTAAGTCGCATGGCTCCCATTACAAGTGATATGTTTCGCGTAAGAACAATAAATTGGAACGAAGAAGGAAGAAGGAGAAAAGGACGACCACCAACTCTATACTTATCCTTTCCGCGTTTTGTACAAGGGATAAGCGAATTTAAGAGAATGTGGGGGTTACCCCTCTCGTCCCGGCACGCATTGCTGTTTTCCATTTTTTAAGGCCAAAAAGAATTCCTCTTTCTCCAGCCTTTATTGGAGAAGCGCTGCTAAAAACGAGTCCGCAAATGCGTCCTTCGAGGGAGCATGCATCTTTATATTTTTTTTCCCCATTTGTGCGGTAGATCTATACAGAGAGTGAAAAGGTTTAACAAAGCTGTGGCGCTGATATTCAGCCGAAGTGAGAGGGAGAGGCAGCACTTCTGACGTGAGACGCCTTTCCCAGTTCCGTCCTTTTCTGTTCTCTCTTTTTTCATTGGGAGGTACCAAACTTGAGCTACCTCAAATGACCATGAAAAAAGGGGGAAGCGGTGGAGGACCAGGACAAAATGGAGGAGCGGGACGCAGTGGAGGTGGTTGCCAAATCAAAAAGGTGACCTTCCGAGAACCCCCAGTAGTCTGTGAATTTAGTGAAAATGAAAAGCATGAGTTTGATGAAGAGTCTTGTGAAGAAGATGAAGCGAATGATTTTTTTTTGGACGACACGGAGTTGTCATCGCTGATGGAAAACTTGGACCCAACAGATTTTGGCATTAAAGAAAAACTAACTGAAAGTGAAAAGAAAATACTCATCAGGGAAATTTACGGAAGACTCGGTTCTAACTCTTCGTACTCTACGTCTTCCCAAAACGAGAGGAAGGGCAAGAAGAAGGACAAGAAGAATGTTATTACCCTTAGGCTGGAAAATTCACTGGAGGAACAGCCAAAGGGGACACAAGAACACACAAAAAGTTATGCTAGTAAGCAGAATGGAGAAAGCGAACTCTGGGAACATGACCTAGACAACACAAGTGAGACGAACCACAAGACGATGGATGAGCAGAAGAAGAAAAAAAAAAAAAAAAAAAAAATCAAAGGAAGACGGAAAGAGGAGGAGGAAGACCCCATGGCCTACCTCGATGGAGACTGTTACTTTCCAGATGATGGGTATGATTATGAACAACACTTAAAGAGTATAAGTGCCAATTTTGTAAGTGCAAAGTCCAAAGCAGAAAATAACTTTTTTGAGGTGAAGCCTACAGATGAAGAGGAAAGAGAGCTGTTTAAAACGTTCGAAGAGGACAACTACGAAGAACTCAATGATAATTTTGTGTACGAAGCACAGGATGTGAATGGTGAGGATAAGTTGGATGTACCAAAGGATCTCATTTGGGGTACCCCCGACTGGAGTTTCCCCATGGGCGGTGCCAATGTCACTTATTTGACTGCCGATCCGATGCAGCTAAACGAGATGAGCGACAGCCAGAACGGAGACAAGACCGACGCGGAGGTTAGCGATGTGGAGGCAGATCGTTCTGCAGCGAATCACCACCCTCGTAGTGGTAGTGTTAGCAGCGACAGCGGAGATGAAGGAAGCAACCCGGAAGAGAACGGATACGTCATCTTTGATGAAAGTACACACCAAAAAGTCTCCACATATCAGAAGCAAAAACAAAAAGATACAGACGCAAAGAATGGCGACCCGAATGCACTAAAGCTAAGCGATCTGGTCAAACGGGAAATGCAAAAAGTTGAAAACAAGAATTTAAATGAAATAAAAAATATACTTGTAAAAAAAAAAAAAAAAAAAAAAAAAATCGTACAGCAAATAATACAGATAATACACTTGTCCACGTAAATGTAGAGGACAAGATCAAAATTTTGCAAATGTTAAATTCACAAAAAGAGGAAGAAGGTCATCGTGGGGGGGAGGGTGCTGAGAAGGAGAACTCCCGTTCGGACGCATCCGGGGAATTTTCATTCTCCTCCTCCGATGCGTCCTCTTCATCATTGTCATACGATTGCGAAACAATCCTCACGACAAAGACGAACACAACAAACCACCCTTGCAAGTTAGTTATCCCTAAGAAGGTTTCTACCCCCGCCTCTGCCAGCCTGCTGATTAACCCTCTCCCTCATGGTAGCGCCAACCCGAAGAGGAAGGACAAGGAGAAGGAGAAAGTCAGCGAAGAGGCCAAACTGGAGAGCTACCTAGTCCTGGAAAATGTAAGTAGTTCGCCCGACGGGGTGAAGTAGAGCACAAGGGAGACAAAGCAATGAAGAGAGAAGTCACTGTCTCCTGCGTCAAACGCCCATGTGTTAACACTCTGCACACCGCGTACTAACCGCTCACTCTCCTTCCCCACCTGCAGATAAACACCACGCGCGGCAAAAACGAAACCCCGGAAGAGAAGAGGGAGCGCAAGAGGTCCGTCAAAGAGGCCCAACGGCTGAACAGGAAGATGAAAAAGGAAAACGCACTCCTGATGAAGGTACGCCCTGTTCGCCCTCATTTGTCTCCCTGTGTGTTTATTGCTTTTTGTCCTGCACATTTTTTCGCTGCATTTTTTCGTTACACTTCTTTGCCACATTTTATCGCTACACTTCTTTGCCACACTTATCCCCCCCCTCCCCGCAGAGCGAGAAAAAAATGATGAACAAGAAGAGCAACCCCTTCGACATTAGAGATAACGTTAAGTACATTAAACTGTGAGGTGGGATCCCCTCGGCACACGCCGCTTTGAGGATTTTTGTACACCTCGGTTGAAGGACGCAGCCGAGTGGACGTGGCGATATGGTTAATCACGCCTTCGCTGCACTGGCGAAAAAAGCGCCGTCCTATTTGTTTCGTTTGGCCTGGTTATTTTGTTTGGTCATTTTTGCTTAGCCATTGTGCTTGGCAATTTTGCTGGGCATTATTTTACAGGCTTTTAATTTGCCCTTTTTCGTGTTACCCCGCTTTAATTTCCTTTTTTCGTCGCGCATATATAACCCCATAACTCCTTGTGCTTGTTAAAATGGATTTCCCTGAAATACCTTTCACGCTTTTCACTCCTGGATTATCCACATGGAGAAGAAAAAAAAAACAGTTACAACGAAACAACAGTCTTTTTATAAATTTGCCAAAGTGGGCGTCTAGCCCAAGAGCACAAATGGGAAAAAAAAAAAAAAAACATAATAAGGACAAACTGGCCATGTATATACAGCCACCACGCACCAAAAAAAAAAAAAAAAGGTAGCTTCCCCCTAACAGCTGTTTTCCTCACAAAAGGGGACAATGACTTTCACAAAGTGGTCCTTAATGACGTTATAATATCTGTCTTCCTCACGAAAGGTCGCCTCATCATCACTGCAATCCCAACACGTTTTCACAATTTTGCCTGTACACACTCGTTCCATAAGTTCATTTTCGTCGAACAATTTTTGAATAAATGAAAAATCGCCCAGCGTTTTATTCACATGATAAATGACTGTTCGGATGAATTTTTTGTTAAGAGATTTGAAGAAGTCTTGGGGCGCGCATGCCACAGTTTTTTTATCCCTTAGGGGGGGGAAGCTGCTCAAAAAGGTGTGGTAATAATATGCGTTCTGCGCTTCGTCCGCTTTGTCCACTTCACCCACTTCGCCCACTTCGCGAGGGGGATCCCCCTGTTGTGAGATGGTTTCACCACTTCCACTCCCCTCTCCATCACTCACAGAACGGTCACTGCAATACGTCCCCAGCAAGGAACACACGTTCAGCTTGGAAAAGCATTTATAAAAATGCTGATACAAAATTTTAAAGAGAGTGACAACTTGGTCCCTCTTCAGCTTGTGGACCTTACTGGTGGTGCGTTCCCTGAAGTTTTTTCTCTTCTCGGTGCTGGTCTCTGCGGAGAAACGTCTTCCGTGATCGCTTCCACGGTCACCACTGCCACGGCTGTGCATACTGCCGCTTCCCCCCCTTCGATCTTTGTCGCCCCCTCTTTGGGGGGACCCAGTGGAGACCTTCCTAACGCAGACATCCTCTACACATGTCGGCAAAATTTTGCTGAAAAAGACGCGAGAAAAAACCTGGTCAAAGTGCATGTCCAAGGGTTGCCTCTTCCCTTCATCCCCTTTAAAAAATAAATTGCGCCTCTCATACATCACCTCCATTTGGGGACTCAAATAGACCCCCAGCTGCCCCTTCAAATGAACATAATAAATGCACCTTTCACTGGCTTCCTTTCTACCTATTTTGCAACCCAGCCTGCTGCGCTTTGTTTTCTCCTCACTGGGGGGAGAAGCGGTGCCCCGGGAATATTTACTACGGTAGGTGCTGGTCTTTATTCCTTTTCTTTGTTTATCGCCTTTCTCATTTTTAATATCAGTTTCTGGTAAGTATTTACCGGGGGGAGATTTTACCCTCTTCCTTTTCTTCACGACATGTTCATCGTTTTGTGTTTTTTCTGTGCGGGTTCTTTTCTTCTTCCCCTTGTCGGATCCCTTTACATCCCTTCCGCATTTGTCCCTTGTCTTTTTTTTTGTTTCCACTTGGACTGTTTTTTTTTTTATCATGTTTTTTTTTTTCACCTCTTCGATGAGGACGTTAGGATGAGAAGGATCCTCACTTGGAGGTGCTGTGGTAGACGCGGTAGGATGGTCCACGACTGGTCCATTTGGGGAGTCCTCCCTAGCCTCCTCCTCTACCCTATGTTTAACCATCCCCTCCCCATTTCTGCCATTCCTCTCTGGGCCGTCATCCAGTTTGAAGTGCTTTTCCAGTTGGGGATCTCTTCCTGATTTTATGTTCCTCTTGAGGATTATTTTTACTGGTCTCCTTTGCGCGATGGGGCGTGGATGGTTCGCTTGATGGGGGAGCTCCTCCCTCTCCGTTCGATCCAACTGCCTTTCCTTCTCCACACGCTTCCTGCGCCCCGCCGATTTAAAAACAAACCTGAACAGCTCATGCGAGAGGAACGACCCGTACCTAACATCGCACATTGAACACAGGGATGTCACAATTTTTCTCATGTTCCTAAGGGGAAGCTTTTCCAGCTCATCCATTCTGACCCTTCGTAAAAAATGTCTTATCCTTTTTGCGCACCTGTAAATGAGCCTCATCTCGCGCGCTTCCGAAATGTCCTTCGTACTCATCGGGGTGTTCGCGGTGATACTGGTTCTGGCACTGGCGCTGGGCTGAAGCCCGACCTCTCGACTTGTGTCCGGATTGACCTGATCAGCGTTGTCGCTGGAGCATTTGTCCACACCGCACATGTGCCACTTCAACCGGACCAAGGTTGCTTCCTCCGTGGAAGTGTCCCCCTCCAAGTAGAACCTCCGTAAAAATTGTACATAAAATCGGTGCAGAAGTTCGAAGCGCTTTATGTGTACCTCCCTACGAATGAAGTGGGCGCTGCTGTAGTTGCCCCGCTCCCCTCCGCAGGAATCTCCTCCCAAATACCGACTCCACTCAGTAAGCTGCTTCACCTTGAGATACTCGCCAAGCATATTTATTTTGTACTGCTGCCTCGTGAACTCCCTGATGTGGAAGTAAAATTGTATTTTCTCCTTTTGCTCAATCGTGTCCACCGCGTCGTTAGCCGCGTCGTTGACCGTGTCGTTGTTGCCCATGTCGTCGTGCACCTTGCCCATTTTGCACCTGCTCTTTTTTTTCCCAGTGTACAAAAGGGAGGAGTAATAGTTGGAGGTTTTTCCACTTGGGAGAGGTTCCAGACAGGAGGGACCCACCTGCATGACCTCTCCATGAGAATAATTGAAGTCAGCAAAACGGACGTGGCTCCAAACATACATATCCTCATCTGTACTCACACATGAGAGGATCGTTTTTCTTCCTTCAGGTAAAAGGGTGCGCATAATTCTGTTCAAGCTTCTTATCACGCTTTTCTTCCTTTCGCATGGAGCATGTACATAGACTTCTCCCCCTTTCGAATCACTGGGGGTATTTTTGTACAGGGGGAGGTGACCCACCAAGTTGAAATGATTACAAATGCAATTCCTATCCGGTTTATTTGTCAGCGTAGAAATATCTTCTCCTGCCCTTCTGTTTTCTTCTTTAGTGTTGTCTCCCCCGACCATACACCCACGGTGCTTACCCCCCCTTAGCTTATTAAGGCTGCAAAATATTTCTTTATGAAGTGTTTTTATCCTTGCCTTTATAGTGTCCACTTTATGTGTGTTGTCCATTTGAGTCTTGTGTGTCTCCCTCGGTTTTGTTTTCTCTCTTTCATATGTGACGTTCGCGGGGTCATTCGAATTGGAGTTGTACCCCCACTCACATTTTGTCCTCCACCAATCGTTCACATAATCGGAGGTCGTTTCACTGGGGACGATTTCTCTTTCGAATTGCCTTCCGCTAATGTCACTTGGAGGAAGCGTTCCATTTGGCCAACCCTTCTGCACATTTTGAGGCTCCCCATAAGGCACCTCTGCTAAGTGGTATGGTACACCCATTCCTCTCCCTGTTGACTTCTCCCCTTTGGGGTCGTTTGAGCAGGACACATCATCTCTCCTCTTCGGGGGATCCAGCCCACTGACACATGTGCAGTCATTAAGGCTACATTCCTTCCAACTTAACTCACACCCTTTTGAGGATGCCTCATCACTTGTGGTGGTGGTGGTGTGTTTTATCCTTTTTATGCGTTTAGGGGTGGAGTCATCTGGGTGGGAGGGGCCACCACGTGTGCAGTGGTTGTAGCTTTTTATCGGTCTTCTCCTACCCAATACACTACCCCTAGTCGTCCTGTTATTATTCAACTCCAAAAAATTAACACTCGGATGCGAGCAAATGTAATCTACCATTGAGTTCAAAATGGACCTGTACTTTATGTGGTACTTGTCCAGGTGGTCCGTTTGGCTCTTTTGAGGCGACACGTTGGGGGGGTCGGTGACATATTCAGTACCCGCGGGGGCATCAGCCCTTCCACCATCCTCTTCGGCATGTTCACGGGCGTCCTCGCATTTGTCATCGTAATTGCCCTCGCATTTGCCACCCTGGGCGGGGCACTTGTCCTTAAATTCCTCCCTCTCCACGGACAACAAATACTTTACAATCGAGTGCACATCGTCGCACTTCATGTTGACCACGTGAAGGGGTTCGCCCAGGGATGCCTCTAACTGTAGGTCCTTCTGCGTAGATTCACTTCCGCCTTCGCGTTTGTGATTATCACATGGGGGTATGCTAAAGTTCTCCTTAGGTTGGTCATCATATATGATGGCACTGCCCTTTTCTTCTTTATTTTCATATTCCTCTTCTCCCCTTTTCCCTCTGGGGTTATTTTCCTCTTCGTCCGTTTTGTTCATACCGTGTTAGAAAATCCACTGGGGGGTCGCTTACAGGGGTCACAAGTGGACACGCGCTGGCAGTCGTGCAGCAGTCATATAGACGTAACACACGGGGGATCTCACAAAAGTGCACCTCTACAGAGGTTCCCCTCTGCCCCATTTTTTATAATACCTCGCTAGCTTTAAACAACTACCGCTCATGTGCAAACACTTTTCACCTTGGAAGCCTCACCCACACCGTTTCCCTTTTTATATACCGTGTAATATATTCATGCGACGCTTTTTTAGGAGATGCAGAAGGACGTCCCCTTTTTTGTGCACGCACCTTGGGGGTAAACTTATGCCAATTTTGCCTCGTCCCGCTTCTTCCCCCCCAACACGCAGAACGGCATGTCAGAACTCAGCGGGTGCACATCCACACGACCATCCTACTTAATTTGCACCAGCACAGGTACGCACAAGGGTACGAAAAAAAAACAAAACAAAACATAATAAAAAAAGCCTCACCATTAGAAGGGAAGTACCCCCAAAGGATAAGCCGCCTCGCAAAGGCTTCCCTTTTGTGGACGTTTCGAAGGTTTAAAGGAAAAGCGAAACTTTCAAAAAAAAAAAAAAGGGGTTGACCATTTCCCGAACAGGTGAGGAGAACCTGCAGAAAATATTTCTACACAATTGGAGTTATTTCCAATTTAGTGTCCCTTCGCCCTGCCGCCGGGCTCGCACTGGGCCAAGTGTTTTTATTACACTTCCCACCCTTCCCTATTCTGCGGACCAACAATGAACGATGATTAGGATCAGCGCGCGTAGACTGGCCGGGTACCCCAAGGCCTCCTTCCACGAGCAGCATATAAATCCCTTCTCGAATGTGCAATGGTGAGTGTGCGTCACAGCTGTGTAAAAAAGGGGTCAAATTTTGCTGCATAAGTGACCCCACAAAGTGTGTAGAAGCGTGTTGCAGAGTGTAGAAGTTAGTTGAAGCGAGTTGAAGCGAGTTGAAGCGCGTCGTGCCGCCTCATATCGCGCCAAAACTTCCCCCCCCCCCGCAGGAAAAGTACCCCCTTCCTCAAGAAGAACATGCCCAAGACGGATATCTTCGCAGAAGAACACGTGTCACAAAATGCCATCAGCGTATTTGACAAGGAGAAGGGAAACTGGTTTGTCATCGACGCGTATAATAAAAGCGTTGGAAGTCTTAGCGTGTGCATTAGCAAATTGCTCCAAGGAAAGTACCGAGTCGATCACAACCCTAACAGAGTAAACAGCAGCAGTGTCATAGTCGTAAATGCAATTCATGTGAAATTCTATGGTCATACGTGGGACACCAAGGTATACAAATTTACCAGAAAGAGTCACTCCAAGGGACCCAAAATTATAACCTGTAAAACAGTTTTTGCTAAAAACCCCTCCATGATTTTAAACTTAGCTGTTAAGAGAATGCTGCCAAACAATCGACTGCGTCAATTGTATTACAGGAAGCTCTTTGTCTACCCGGGGGCCATCCACCCCCACTGGGGAATACCACAGGTGGTCGTGCCCAAGAAGGACGTGGACCGCGTTGAGGCAAACCAAGTCCTCAAGGCATTCACAGTCGTCTAAAATGGGGGAATATCCCCCATCCCCCCTTTTTTTTTTTTTTTTTTTTTTTTTTTTTTTGGTATAAGTACTTGACAGAAAAAAACAGATAGCTCCTATTTTTTTGAAAGGAGCACCTAGGGGGGTCCTTTTTTTTTTTCCTGCATGGAGCCCTTCATATATTTTGAATTTTGCCCCATGGAGGGATATTTCTACTTCTAAGTAGACTCGCACAAAGCGGAATGACAAAGGGGCAGTCAAAGCCAACACGCTCTACCCCCCATCAGGCAGTGTGCGTGTTTGGCCTACCGAACATCCCATTAGAGCGCAACATCAATCGCTTGTTGTTAATCCACGCAGTTAGCAAAAAAAAAAAAAAACAAAACAAAAAAAAAAAAAAAACGGAAAAGCAACGATAGGAAGCGGCTTAAGGAAACCTGTGAACGGATATTTAACGGTTTGGGGGAGTGCCCATTTTTTGCGACCGTCCCGAAGCGTGCACGCCCTTGTATGCGCGCGACGAGGTTTGCCTTTTTTTATTGGCTCAGCAACTCTGGGAAGGCGCGCACCGTTAGCGCGTTCGCGCGCAGGGATTCCTTTGGTCCGCTCGATAAAAAAAATAATATGTTCGCGCTTCATTCAGTTCGCCTTAACGATATATTTATAAACTCAGTGCTCGTTCCTAGCGCATATTTATCCGTTCATCTGTTCATCCACTCATGCACTTATCCGCTCATTGACTTATCATCTTATCCACTTCTCTGCCACCTCTTTTCCCCTTTGCGCTACCCGGCGCGTGGACCATCCACTCATTCACCAGATCGCTTCACCCACAAATTGTACAGGCGAATGCGCGCGGACCGGTTTTTTCCCTCTCCCACGCGTGAAACATAGCATACTATATATATATTCATGTCACCTGTACAGTGATTATACCACTTTGCTTCATGTAAACTGATTTGGAAACAACAAACTTGTAATTGTCGCGTTTTAACAAAACCAACCCCCGGAATGTTAAAGAGAAAGGACGGGAGGGGGTTGATAGTGCGCGCGAGTAGCTTTTGTTTTGGCAGTGGGAGGGCGTAGTGGCGCGTTTTTGATCCTACGCAAGGCGCGCGCGCGTACGAGGGAGGGTGATTCCCTGGACATATGCTGCTTCACAGGGCAGCTTGTTATATGTGATTGCCTGTGGGACATATATATTACTGTCCGCCCACAACTAGTCGCTTTTCCCCACACCAGTCGCGCTGCACTAGCCGCTTTCCACAGTAGTCGCTTCCCCCCACGATCCCCGTTTTGAACTTGTGTATACCTGTACCCACTTCCAAGTCCCCGCTTGAACAAAAAAAAAAAAAATGGCACTGAAGAGCATCAACATCAGCGGCAACATCGATTGGTGCCCATTCAAAGAACACAAGAACTACCTAACCTGTTTCACCTCACAAAACCTTCTGTACTCCAACAGCAGCAACCTAAACAACTACGTATACCTTCTCGACATTAACCTGAATAATGATGGAAGAAATTTAGAGATTGTAAGTAAGCTAAACTTTGAGGAAGCATTGAAAAGTGAAAAAAGTGGGAAGAAAAAAGGAACTAATGAATATGTAACTAGCTTCGAATGGATAAACAGTAACAGCTTTGTTGAGTCAGACAGTCCATATGAATTTAGCAAGGGAGTCATAGTAGGAGGATTAACAAATGGTGATGTAATTTTATTGAATGCACAAAATTTATTTGTAGAAAAACCAACCCATGAACAGTTTATATTAAGCAAGGCAAATGTACATGAGGGTTCCATTAATTGTCTCGAATGTAATAAACACAAAAACCATTTAATAGCAACAGGAGGAAATGACGGACAATTATTTATTACAGATATTGAAAATATTTATTCTCCAACTTCCTATGATCCTTATTTAGATAAAAATAATTTACAAAAAATTACTTGTTTGAATTGGAACCAAAAAGTATCTCACATTTTGGCTACCTCCTCAAATAATGGAAATACAGTTATCTGGGATTTGAAAATAAAAAAAGCTGCTGTTAGTTTTAGGGATCCACATAGTAGAACAAAAACTTCCTCTCTTGCATGGCTAGCTAATCAGCCAACACAAATTTTAGTTGCATATGATGATGAAAAAAGCCCTTGCTTACAATTGTGGGATTTAAGAAATGCAAATTACCCCATTAAGGAAATCATTGGACATTCAAAAGGGATTAACGACATCAGCTTCAGCAACATAGACACGAATTTATTAATTTCTTCAGGGAAAGACACAACCAAATGTTGGTACTTGAGTAATAATAACTTTGATGTGTATAATGAGGTCAACAATTCTGCTAATAATATTTACTCCAAGTGGTCTCCTTTCATTCCAGACATTTTTGCTTCCGCTACCAACATGGACACCGTTCAAATTAATTCCATTAATAATGGTATGAAGATGAGTAGCAATTATGTCCCCAATTTTTATAAGAGGGATGCGGGGATTACGTTCGGCTTTGGTGGGAAAATCTGCTGCTTTGACAATACCGCCGCGATTATCGCCAAGGCGGGACAGCCGGACGGTAGCGGTGTGAGTGGCGTGAGTGGCGTTGGTGCGGATAGCGGTGCAGATGTTGGTGCGGGGAGCGGCGCCACTGAACATAAATTCCCCATCAAGTGCCACATCTATTCCACCGACATGGAGCTCATTTCAGAGGCAGACAAATTCGAAAAATACATCGCCAGCGGAAACTACTTCGAGTTTTGTGAAAGTAAAATAGCCAAGACGGAGGACGAATATGAAAAACTCACCTGGAGAATGTTGCAACTCCTGTGTACGTCACAAAAGGAAGGAATTGTGAAGCATCTCGGTTATGACATGAACGAAATTGTACACAAAATTGAAGACAGCACGGGAAAGAAACCAGGTTTTATTTTTAACAAATTCGATGAAGAGGAAAAGGAAAAAATGTTAGCGAAGAAAAATTCCTCCTCCAATTTATTGGCTCATAATGGCACCATGGATCCGTCTGTAGCGGGATTAATGGCGACAGGGGCAGCAAATTATAAACATATGAATAATGGATTTGTGGCTGGTGGTGCAGGGGCCATGGACCCGAACATGATGTACACCGGAGCCGCGTCCCCTTCCGCCTCCGCTGCGGCTGCTACCTCCCCCATGGTGGTGGACAATTTACAGAGCTTCAACTCCTCGTTGGATGTGGACCCAGAGAAATTTTTTAGGGAGCTCGGAGAGAAGAAAGAAAATGAAGAGATCAAAGAGGGGGAGAAGCAACAGAAGGGAAACAAAGGGGTAGAAGATGCCACATCCAAGGGAGACAAAAAGGGAAAGGATAAAGGGAAGAAAACAGGAAAGGGAACATTTTCCAGTTTAATAGGAGGAGTGATGGATGAAGAGTACGATGATGAAGATGGGATGGGTGCAAATAGCACACTTGGAGGTAGTAAAGACGGCATAATGGGTGGAAGCAAAGATAAAAACCAAATAAATGATATGACCAATTGGAATTCCGGTATAGAGTCCATCATTAAAGAGTGTGTCTTGGTAGGAAATATTGAAACAGCAGTAGAGTTATGTTTGCACAAGAATCGAATGGCAGATGCTTTGTTCCTGTCCTCCTTTGGAGGTGAACAACTGTGGCACAAAACAAAAACGTTATATATTAATAAACAGAACAGTACCTTTATGAGGAGCTTGAATTACATTTTGGATGACCAGCTAGACCTCCTAGTTCAACGGATCGACCTCTCCTCCTGGGGAGAAGCTCTCTCAATTCTATGTACATACGCATTAAATAAAGCCAACTTTAATAACCTCTGTGAAACATTAGCCAAGAGGTTACAAAATGAAAAATTCGATATAAGAGCAGCATCCATTTGCTACCTATGTGCTTCTAACTTTGATCAGACCGTACAAATCTGGAATGACATGCCCTCCACACAAAATTCCCTCCTCAATGTACTTCAAAATATGGTGGAAAAAATGACCGTCCTAAAAATGGCCATAAAGCATAACATGTTTAATGCTATTATGAATAAAAAAATTAATCAATATGCAGAGCTGTTGGCTAATTCAGGTCGATTGAAAGCTGCCATGACATTTTTGTGTTTAACGCAGGAAGACCAAACTGAAGAGAGCCTCATTTTGAGGGACCGTATTTTCAACAGTGGTGCTCATATGCTTTGTCGTCAGGTCAAACCTCCTATGTCCCCCTTCCAAGTGTTACATGTAAAATCTACCGTTGGGGGGATGCTGCATCACAATTATCAACAGGGTAATCAGAGCCCACAATTTAAGTCCAATGTTATGGGTAGTAGCTTGAACCCTAATCAGTCCAAAATCTTTTCCCCCACTAAAAGTGCCACCTCCATGATTATCCCCCCTCCGATGCCCAGGCAAATGACAGGACAGATGCAAATGGCCAATCAGTCCATACCTCCACACTCCACTCACATGGGTTACTCTCCCATGCCCGCCACCAAATTCAACACACAAGTTATAAGTACTCCTCCATCCCAACGCGCATCCTTCGCAAGCACATCAAATAAAAATTTCCCTCTCGGCAACGTCAATCCAGTGAAGCCTCCATCCATTAGCACTATGTCTTCCTCATACATGGGGCCCCCCTCAGGACCACCACCACCCTCGAGTACATGTCCAATTGGCACATCTCCCCCTTCCTACGCTTCCATGTCTAACCTTTCAAATTATATCCCATCACAGGGTATTAAATCAGACCAGGGCGATCAGAAGCAGACCACGCCAACCCCAGTTGGTGTAGGCGGACCCATGTTCTCCACTCAGTCCTATGCCAACCAGAGACGAATTCAACCCGGGGCAAATCCTCCACCTGTTCCTCCCACACCTTCACAAGCCAACCAAATGAACAACCGTAGTTTTCCCTCCATGCAAAATATCGCACCTGGCCCCCCCCCTGTAAATAGAAATTTGCCCGTCACGTCTAATCAGAATAGTATGTCCTTCCAGCAGGATAACTCTGGGCAGCAGTTTCTCAAGAGGGAGTCCATGGATCAGCAGACTCCTTACGGAGGGGCAGTGAGCCCTCCCGGCATGCAGCCAAATAGTTTTGGCACCTCTTTCCAGGACAGTACGCACAAGGTTGGACTAGGCGGCCAGTCGAGCGGCCCCCCCTCATCAGGTTAGCACCGTGTATAGAGTACTGCATTAATGGTTCATGTAATCACTTTTGCAGCGATGTGTGTATATATGCATGCAGCGATGCGAGCTGCTATATATATGTGTGTGTATCGGTTCACTTGGAACGCACCCCCCACTGTCCCATCTGCAGGCCTCAGTACGACATCCCCAATCGCCGGCGCACTGACTGTCACCCCCGGAATGCCGGTCCCATGGCCAATCCCCACGACCACTCAACAGGTACACGAACAGAAAAAAGTGTGATTGTTCGGCATTGTTAGCCGCATCGCGGTGTAGCCGCCCTAATTAACCACATTTCTCCCTCCCGAGTGCACTTTTATAATACGCTTCCCTCACGCACCTGTCCCCTCCCCCCCCCCTTGCGTAGCTTGGATCAACGACCACCTCCACGGCGAACGAAAACAAAAAGATACAAACGGCCACGAAGGAACAAAATGGCGTGTTCATGGGAAGACACAACGTAGATAATGTTAAAAAAACAATAAGCAGTTTTCTAAATGGGTACATGTCACAGGAACCAATAAAGAAAAAGGCAGAAGACATCTCCATCAAGGTGCACGAGCTGTTTGATAAGCTCGACACTGGGTCGTTTAATGAGCAAATAAATGACAATATTGTAAATATGGTTAACGCACTTAATGCGAATGACTTCAGGGCAGCCAATAAAATTCTAGTGGACCTAAGTAGGAACTTGTGGGACGGAAGCAACAAGTCATGGTAAGGAGGGTCGCCACGCGTGCCATTGTAAACGATGTGTATCGTAGAGCATGGCATGGGCTTTTTTTCCCCCCCCTATGGGATAATTTGTTTTGTAATTTCCGCCACGCAGCTATGTAATATAAAAGGTGTGAACTAATGATCTTTACGAATTTTCCAATTTTCAATTTTTTTTTTTTTTTTTTTGCAGGATTATGGGCCTCAAGTGCATTATACCAAAATGATGAAGCAGACCAGTGTGACGTATATATGACCGTTGCGCCATGTGATGTAATTTTTTTTTTTTGCTCCATTGGATTCCCAACCCCCCACAAAAGACTGCTTAATTAAAAGAAAGGCAAATGACTTGCCCCCCGTCTTGATATGGGGGGTACATGGTCGTACAGAAAACCGCATTCGATTTTTAGTTCGCCGCAATTACGCCGCGTCACTGTTGTATGTATATATATATATATATATATATATATATATATATATATGTATGTATTTTTTTTTTTTTTTTTTCCACTACGTTGGATAGTGCTAAACTTATCCTGAGTTTCCTTCAAATCGTGTAAAAAGGTACACATATAAAAGTAAAGGCGTCGCGTCACGTGGTGGCCACGTAATGGCGCCTCCGCAAAGGCGTGAAAAGGACAGCGGAGCAGTTTACCGAGCTGCATGGGCAAGAAGCGTAGCTCATCCGCTTCGCGGCTTCACCGCTTGGGCGCTCCCCCTAAAAGGTGTCGTCGTAGTCGGGGTTTTTGTCGCGCGGCTTTGGGCCGCCGGCGGGCTTGGCCAGGATAATCTGGTCGATCTTGAGAATGGTCTGGAGGGCGTCCATGGCTAAATCGATAGCATACTTCTTGCACTTGAGGTTATCATATATGCAGTTATCCTTGGCGGAGGTGATAAAAGAGTCCTTATTTATATTTACACAAGCATCGGTGTTCCCCTTATTGTGTTCATTAATAAGTTGGTTCAGGACATCCGTGCTGTTATACCCACAGTTAGTGGCAAGGATACGTGGAACAACGAGAAAAGATTCTGCAAAAATTTTAACGCTGTAATTGTGTACACCCTTTAACTGTTGAGCATATTTTTTAAGTCGTTCACATAGCTGAACTTCGATACAACCCCCACCATACACAAAAGTATTTCCTTTTATGGCGTTTTTTATAGCATTTATTCCGTCATGGATACATCTTTCCACTTCATCCAACAGATTATATGTGGCCCCCCTTAGGATAATCGTACTGACCTTTTTATTAATCGAATTAATAATGGTTACTTTTTTGGAAGCAATTTCAGAGACATATATGGAGGAGGCTTTTCCAATTTCTTCTGGTTTAGGAACTGCTAACTTCACAAGGGAACTTATGTTAAGAAGTTTGCACAAACGTAGGGTTTCAAATTTGGAAGGAATTTTCAATGTCATAATTTGTTCTGCATCACAAAAGTGTTGTGCTATATCTGAGATGGCTCCATTAACAATGATCACATCTACTCCTTCTTTTTTTATACTTGAAATAATTTTTTTCATTTGTTCTTCTTCCCCTTTGGTGAAGTTTAGTAATTCTTGTGCGTTGTTAAGGAGTACTGTCCCTTTGGTCTCCGTCGTAGCTGCTTCCAATCCACAATTAAGCACAATGACATTTGCATTTTCTTTCCTCTTAACAATTCCATGTGTATCCCTAGTAATTACCATCCCCATAATAAACTCAGAATCGATTAAATTCCCTCCATTCAATTTCGATATTCTAATATTGTCCACATCAAACAGTTCCACTTTATCTTCTGGCATGAGAGTAGCTATACATTGAGCTAAAAGAGTAGTTATAAACTCATAATTGTTTGTAAGATTTTTCGTGACCATAACAGATTTAATAACTTTTTTAATTTCTTTTTCATCACAGAAATTTTCCATTTTATAAGCAACCAATTCAGATGAAATGATTCTCTCGATTTCCTTGTATCCTAAAATGAACCCACTCAATATATCATTTATGTTAAATCCTTGTTGAATCAAATGGCTAGCTTTATCCAACATCTCCGTTGTTAAGGTAAAAACGTAATTTGTGAAATCTCCATATTCATAGTTCATCGTCTCTGAAAGCTTTTTCAAAATATTTACCACTGGGTGATTTATCTCTAGGTCCTTCAGGATGGTGATACAGTCACTGGACACCACCTTCTTGTTGATGTGGTTAATGATTAGCTTGTTCATACTCTTGGGCCCAAGGGACGTCTGAATTATCCCGCAAATTTCTTTGCACGCCTCGATGTTCTTCAGGATTGCGTCTTCGTTGTTCTTCACGATCCGGTACCCATCCTTCAGGACGGAGTTGAACCCGTGCTTGTTTGCGAACTGAGGGGGCAGGCGGAGCAGTGATGTGAAGCGGTGAAGACGGCCACGCGGTGAAGAAGGCCAAGCGGTGAAGAAGGCCAAGCGGTGAAGAAGGCCAAGCGGTGAAGATGTGAAGTGACGTCGTGGGGAGGCATGAACAAACCCGCGCGGGTCACCTCAACTGGCACACAACACTATGCATGCTCAACATGGAAGAAAAACACATTTTAGCGCGTCTTCAAAAAGCACTTACCATTTTTTTTTTTTTTAATTATCTTAACGAGTGTGTAGTCCTCACAAGGGGGAGGTGGCTGGGAGACAAAACGTAAGCGGAAGAAACTCTTCTCTGCGTGTGTATTTATGTGCACAGCACAACCGCTACATCAAAGTTCGGTTTGCTACACTGTCAAGTTATGAGGAAGCTACTCCTGATGGGACTTTTTCCTCGTGACAGACCTTCCTATCACTTCGCAGCACGCGGAGAATTTGAGCGACACTCTTCTTCTCCCCCACAACGCTTGGAACACCACATATACACGTATGGCACAACATAAATGTTACCTACGCACACAAGTAGGAATATCTGTATAAAGGGGTATATACTTTTTCCACCGGGGGAGTTGCTGCTACGCGCTCGTCTCTCCTGATTTGTTAATGTTTTCTCTTCCGCAAGATCGTCCGTCGGGAACAAAAAAATGATGTGAAGCTTCCTCACAGTGGTCTCTTCCTATGCCATCGACTTTTCACGGATTTGGTACGCTTTGCAAATGTTCTGTATTTTTTTTTTTGTTTTTTAAATTTTTTTAAGATAGAAAAAAGTTCATGTTTTTTTTTTTTTTTTTTTTTAAGATAGGAAAGTTCCAAGTGTTTTTTTTTTTTTTTTTTTTTTTTTAAGATAGGAAAGTTCCAAGTGTTTTATTTATTTTTTTTTTTTTTAAGATAGGAAAGTTCCAAGTGTTTTATTTATTTTTTTTTTTTTTTTTTTTTTTTTCTTTCCCCTCTTTTTTTCCCTTTTGTTTTTTTTTTTTTTTCGCCTTTTTGTAGGGCGCAAACCCCGGGGTATTCCTCTAAGTCACAGGGATGCGTGCACCGGCTGTGGGGGTAAAAAGGCAGCTGTCACATGTTATATATATATAAGCGGATGTTTATATCGCCCACATTGCGCTACCACATGTGGTACCCCTTTTACATACACGTGTCGGCTTGCGCAGAAAAGAAAAGAGATCCCCCACCCATTGGCACACAAAAAAAAACAGGAAAAATAAAACGGGTATCCGCATAGGTGCTACGGTGCGTTGTGGTAGCCGCCCTGTTTTTTTCCCCGCCCCGCTGTCCGTTGGATGACCTCCACAAGGAGTGTTCCCCAAAGAGGAAAAGGGGGCAGCGGCAAGGAGGGACCCTTTCTCCAGTCCGTGGTTGAAAGTTCTACACGCAGAGAAGGCTGCATCCAGCGAAATGTAGAGGCAGAAAAAACACCTACGTGGCAGCATGGCGAACATGAAAACGCCCCATTGTGAGAGCTCCCACGAGTTGAGGGTGTCACGGGCGTGTACCTGACCACAAAATGGTCGTCCGCATGCAGTTTTTTTTTTTTTTTTTTTTTTTTTTACTTCATATTTTTGCCCCTCGGCATTCGTCAAAAATACTGGACCTCCATTTGTCAATTTGATTTCCGGCCTATTGCCAAATTTGTTTTGCTCCTTTTTTTTGTGAGAATTATTTCCCCCCATTTTTTGCGGGCCTTTTCACTTTATCTTCAAGTTTTTTTTAAAGCTCCACCTTTCTCCCATTTGCGATGTCCCCTCACATTGAAGTCGCTGCAACGCTACGAAAAGTGGTGCCCCGCGTGAGGCGAACCTCTTCTCAGGGGCAGCTGCTAATAACCAGGTGATATAAACGCGACATATAATATATGTCGTCGCACGAGAGTGTAGCTTGGCATGTCGAGTGAGGGGGTCGCTTGCTATCGGCTGCGCCACCCGCTGCCCACTGCCAACCCTCACAAAATGAGTGCGCAAATCAGGAAAAAAAAAAACCTCCTTGAGAGGGAAACAAAGCTGAACAACTTGGCACAAATTTTCCACCGGAAACTCGAAACGTTGCTCATATACATAAGGGTTCCAAAGAAGAAACAGGAGAAGCTATTCTTTAATGATTTTTTTAATGTAGAGGAGGTTAGTGCTTATATAAACACCGTTGTAGACGATGAGCAGTGTGTTGATGGGATGCATGACAATCATCTGGACCACGCTGGTGGAAAGCCCTGCTCAGGGGAAAGCAGCCTCAACCTGAACGCAGACAATGAAATAAAAAGCAACAAAGACATTTTCATAAAAAATTTACTGATCTTCCTGAACAACCTAATCGTTCTGTACTTCTCCAAGAGTAACCTAATTGATGTTTGTATAAATCGCAGGAGCTTCAACAAGTGTGGCTTCTATGCATGTGACAACGTATTTTTAAACGCCCCCAACAAGGGCAAATACAAAATAGACGCAAAAAGTAAGAACATTTACCTCAGGGAATATTACGACTTGTTTTGTTCCGCCAGCTGCATGAATTACAACCTGCACCTGCTCAAAGAGATTGCGAAGAATGCGAAAAATGCCAATAACGCCAAGGGGGGACCAGGAGGAGCAGGAGGAGACAAGACCAACCTTAAAACCAAGTGCCAATTAATATATATCATGTTCTTAACCTTCTTCCCCATTTTTAAGTTTCATGACATTAATGTACTCCTCAACAATTTAGAGCTCGTGTACATTCAAAACCATAAAATTTTTTTCAAGTCCGGGAAGGGAGAAGTGGTGCAGATGGATGGAAAAGACAAGGGGGATGCACATCACACGCACGAGAAGAACAACAAGAAGAATAATGCAGTGAATGGTGAAGACAAAGTATGCACCATTAGAACGGTGAAGGATCAAGTTAGTCAGAAAAACCATCAGTTGAAAAAGACCCTCTTTCCAATCATCGTGGAGAAACAGGACGGCTGTGAAGACAATGAGGAGGAAATTACCGACGAATCCCCCCAAGACATTTCTTCTAATGACAAAGTTATACCTAACCACGTGGTGAGGAGTGACCACCCACAAGGGGAAACATCCAATGAGCGAGATGGAAATAAAATGTTAATTCTTCCCCTGGTGGAATCACTCAGAGATTATACCCAAGTGAAGACAAAGGAGGACCATCCCACCAAAGAAGAGGGGGATAATTATACAAAAAAAGAACAGGGGAAAAATAATAAATGTAAAAATGTAAGATTTAATGAAGACGTACAAACGTATGAGTACTTCAAAGACGAACGGGTCGATGTGTATAGTGTGGCTAAGACCTCCATGGAGGTGAACCACGAGGGTGCTGCACAAGGGGAGGATTCTCCGCCAAGTGAGGATATTATTACGTATAACGCTTCTCAATCGGGTGACGCTTCTAAATCGGATGAGGACGATCATGGGGGGAAGGTTGACTCCGGTGAACCAACACAACGGGGTGAAACTACCATGAGGGAAGAGCCAGCTGAGGAGACGAACGGACAGTCCGTCACACTTCAAGGCGCTAGTGATGAAGAGGTGAAAGAAGAAGCCGCTCGTGAGACGGAACCCCCCGATGGCGAAATGGCCAAAGTGTATGAACAAGTCAGGCAGTCCATTTTTACAAACCATAAACACTTCTTTGAAGACATCCTGACAAACAACCTTTTCGATTCGAACAAGGTTATCGGCTTTGACTACGAGGGGGGGGAGCAGGAGGACAAAGAGAAGCAAGCTGAACAAGTGGAGGAAGAGAAGCAGGTGGAACAAACGGAGGAAAAGCAAGTTGAACAGGAGAAGACTGAGAAAGACCTCCGGACGTGCGCCGCGCAGCGGATGAGCGAAATTAACCTCAAGCACGACCGGGAAAGGAAAGGGAGGAGGATCGTTTTGTTGAGCTCTCCCGGAGGAGGGGGAGCCACAAGGGGGATTCCCCAGGCCAATGAGGGTGGCGGTGCACCTGAGGAGGATGAGGCCGAGTCCGTGGGCGCAATGAGCGACGTGGTGGGGAGAGAAAAGGAAGACGCTACTTCACTTGATGAAGAGAAGGAAGACGCTACTTCACTTGATGAAGAGAAGGAAGACGCTACTTCACTTGATGAAGAGAAGGAAGACGCTACTTCACGTGATGAAGAGAAGGAGGATGCTGCTTCACCTGATGAAGAGAACGAAGATGCTGCTTCACGTGATGAACAAAAGGAAGACGCTGCTTCACCTGATGAAGAGGACAACGAGAAGCTGCAAAACCTGTTGATGGAGAAGAAGAAAAAAATCAGCAAGCAGTACGACGAGACGTTCAATAGGTGCATGCCGCCGTTCCTGTTCTCAGGAACAGACGGCGACAGCGGAGGAGAGGAATGCCCCGAAGATCTCCTCAATGATAAGGACGAATCATCGGATGACGAAGAACAAGTGCAGCAAGTGAAGGGACAAAATAAGTACACCTACAGCACCGACAAGTGTAGCGCGTACGAAGACATGTCCCTTTATGTAGTCCTCTGGGATATCCTCACAGGGATCATCTCACAGTATACATTTTACTTCTTCCAAGGAAGTGAATTCATTATCCCCAAGTGTCTAACTGAAGAGGAGCGAGACAGAAAAAACGAGTTCCTGAGGAATGTCTCACAGCATATGCCTAGAACTATCCACCCAATCGCGCCCACCATCCTTAACGTCTGCCAAACATTTTCCTTTGGAAAACCCCTACTACCATTTAAAAAAATAATATACGAGTCCATTATCTACGTCATTGCAGCGGCGCTTGCACGACACAAGGTCGAATTGATTCCTTCCGGAGAAATGGAAAACGTCCGGAAGGCGGAAGAATTTCTCATTTTGGAAAATGGAATGGATGAGGAGCAGCTGGAGGAGTTGGCGATGCTTTTTTGTGAACACTTTTGCCACTAGGGTGGATGAGTGTGTGAAGCGGAGAAAGGAAATAATTTCTCCACTCTATCCCCCTCGTCATGCCACTCTACACACATGTTCAAAAATCGCAGCGAAACGATACTGTTTGAGTGGCATTTGCTTTATTTTATTATATTTTTTTTTTTCCAATATGAGCACACAGTTTTTGTGCATCATGTATTTGTATGTGTGGGGGGGCGGGGGTTCAACACTGAACGGGAGGACAGTGTGACTGCCCCTTCCCTTCGTGGGACTAATCGGTGAAGTGCATCCAGTAGTTAACCACGAAGAGAAGGAGAAGCCTACTTATCGGAAGAACACTGTGATATATTTTACCCTCAATGGTGATCACAAAGGAGACAAAGCTACTGAGTGTGCAGTTGGAGGCTGCCTCTTCCCACGTTTGTTTCGTGGCGCACTTCAAGTGCTCATCGTGGGGGAGGACTCTCGAGTCCGCTTGGCCTGAACTACTTTGACCCTTCTCACCTTGTGTATGGTGTCCATCGTCTTCCTCTTTTTTCCCCTGTTCATTTTTTCCCACTGGATGATTATCCCCCCTTTTTTCCGTACCCCCCAACTTGCTGACGTCCCGTTCTTGCCCCTCCTGGCACAGGTCGTCAAATGATAACATGTCGCCATGCGCATTTCTAACCAGCGTGGATAACTCCCTCATCTGCGCACACACCTTTTCACACTCCATGTTGAAATGCTCTGAAGGAACGAACGGCCCAATTGGTAATAGGTCGCAATTCCAGTCTTCAAAAAATAGGCTAACACACTCCGAAAGACGAATTCCAGGCGCATAGGTTTTGAAGGCATTCTTATTGTTGATTAGTTCAGCGGGCACTGGACACTCCACGTCAATTCCCCTCTTCCCCCTGTTGGAAAAGTAAAATTTCCTCGCCACATTATTCTTTCTGCAGTTAATGGTCTCCACGTAGTTCCACCGCCGCATATCTTCACATCTATCTCCTTCGCAATTGAACCGGAGGAGCGAGCTCACCTGTGGGTTCTTCTCCATCACCCCTCCCATGGCCAAGTCGAAGGAGAAAATGGAGTACGTGCCCCCCAACTGATCCTTTGCAAAGACATGCGCAGAGAGACCCCCAGAGGAAAAATCCCCACGAGGAAGACGCGCATGGTAACTCATAATAGATACCTTATCTCGATGAGGACATTGGTCATACAATAATTTTTTGTACAACCAAGGGATTCTACCTTGCTCCAAATGATTATCACATTTTAACGCACAAGCCAAGTGCATGTTATTTATATACACTTTTTTTTTCCCCCCCCCACCCTTCTTCCCATTTACCTGTGGATGATGATCAGTATATGTCTCCTTGTAAGCGGAAAGGAAATTATAAAAATGATTATCGCTGTTGGTGTGGAGTTGGTAGTCCGTCCCCAGGGTTACCCTTCCATCACGAATTCCTTCCCGATTAGCCATCTGGTTATACTTCTTATTTATAAGGCCATATAAATTTAGGAGTCCCTTATTTGTATGCACGTGGTTGTTTACACGTATGTTATATGCAGGTTGTTTATTTACCCCTCTACCATAAGCCACATGACCAAAATTACTTATTTCGATCACGTGCAGGGGGAGACATGGCATGTCTTTGCTCAACTTATCTACTCCACAGGACAACAATTTTGAGTACATCCTTTCTTTGTTCATAAAAAAAAATAAATTGTAAACCCCTTTCTTAAGTTGGGGTGAAAACGCACTTAATATATTTCCATCCAATTTGCAGGGCAGGAGAAAGCTTTCCCCTTCTCCGCTTATCTGCATCTCTACCTTCCCCTCATGCATCGTTCTGTTCGCTAACACAACATTCACCTTCTCTTCACAGTGCTCATATATTAGAGATGTATAGCTTTGCACCAGTAGGGTTTTTCCATCGTGTCCAAAAATGGATTCTGCTTCTTCCCTCTTTATATTGCTCTCCCGTCTCCTACCACTCCATCCTGTGTCCTCATGTCCATTCCAACCACGCTCTTCTATTTTGTTCCTCCCCCTCGGGAATTTCATCCGTTTACGTGGAGAATCCACACAAGAATCACTCTTCCGTAACCCCCCCTTTTCGTTCGACACACTACACTGTGCGAAGATGTCCTTAATTTGGCTCCTCAAAATATACGCAAACTGGTTGTTTTCCATTTAAGGCGTTGGTTGAAGAAATGAGAAAAAAAAAAAATGGCGCTCGGGGCAGGGGAAGATGATGTCCCCACGCATGCGGTGTTGTCCACTGTTGTGAGTTGCTATTTAACTATGCAAGTAGGAAAATGAGATAAGCTCATCAATTTTTTTTTTTTTTTTTT